ATCTTGGAGTCAATAATGACTCCAAGCTCCTTTTCCACCTCCGTGCTGACAAGAGGGGAGTTCCCCAGCCTGTAGGTATGGTGCCGGTTGTTCCTCCCCAGGTGCATCACCTTGCACTTGTCTGTGTTGAACCCCATCCTGTTCTCCTCCGTCCATCCTTGTAACCTGTCAAGGTCCGACTGTAGCCTGTTGCTCCCTTCTATTGTGCCCACATCCCCCCACATCTTGGTGTCATCAGCAAATTTGAACAGGGTGCTTTGCACCCCCTCATCCAAATCACTGATGAAGATGTTGAACAGGGCGGGGCCGAGGACCGAGCCCTGCTGGACCCCACTGCCCACGTCCTTCCAGGCCGAGAAGGACCCATCCACTACCACCCTCTGGGTGTGGCTCTCTAGCCAGTTGGCGACCCATTGGACTTTGTGGGTGTCTACGCCACAGTCCCCCAGTTTCCTAATGAGAATGGGGTGAGAGACAGTGTCGAAAGCCTTCCGGAAGTCCAGGAAGACTATATCCACTGCTACCCCTGCATCCAATGATTTAGTGACCTGATCGTAGAAGGCCACCAGGTTGGTCTGACATGACCTGCCGCTGATGAACCCGTGCTGGTTGCCCCGAGCATGCATTTCCCTGCTGGCCCCTCCTGGATGTGTGCCAGAATAATTTTCTCGAACAGCTTGCCCAGGATCGAGGTAAGACTGACTGGCCTATAGTTTCCCGGGTCCTCCTTCCTCCCCTTTTTGAAGATGGGAACCACGTTGGCCCTCTTCCAGTCCTCCGGCACCTCTCCAGAGCACCATGAGTGCTCATAAAGCTGCGCCAGGGGACTCGCAATGACCCTGGCCAGTTCCTTTAGAACTCTAGGGTGGAGATCATCCGGACCGGCTGACTTAAAAACGTCCAGCCCCTCCAGCAGCTCCCTAACTAGATCCTCACTTACCCTGCTCAGGTGTGCCTCCCTCGGGGCCCGATGGGGGCCTAGCAGGGAGGTGGCAGTTCTGGTCCTTACTGAGGAAGACAGAGGCAAAGAAATCATTAAATATGTTGGCTTTGTCGTCTGGTGTGACAACCAGATTCCCCGTCACATCCTGCAAGGGCCCCACATTACCCGGGGCCTTCTTTTTGCTCCCTATGTATTTAAAAAAGGACTTCTTGTTGTCCTTAATCTGGGAAGCCAGTCCCAGTTCCATCTCTGCCTGGGCCTTCCTAACTACCCCCTACACCCCCGAGCAACTGCCGAATAGTCCTCCTTGGTGATGACCCGTCCTTTCCATTGGGAGTAAGCCTCCTTTTTAGCAAGGAGACATTCCCGGATGTTTTTGGTGAGCCATGGAGGCTTGTATGTTCTCCGTCCCCAGCAGAATGTCAGCAGAATGCGCGCGTGCGCACGCACGCACGCACGCACGCACACACACACACACACACACACACACACACACACACACACTTTGATATACTCCTATTTAAAAGACTCCTTACCAGAAACTGCCTCCTGCTCATGTGGACCTTTTACCCAGTGTCTGTCAATAGCACCGCTCCCAGTGCACATGTACCAAAGTGGGACCAAACCAAACTAAACTAAGCCATACCTTTCATAACAAAAGTGTCAAAAGCACCTCAGTGAATGGGAAGTTGTGGGTGGGAATATCTTAAAACATTTAGTCTTGCATTAGATAAACTGCCGGTGGGGAATGAGACGGCCCTGGCTCCAGAGTCTGAGGCTAAGTACAGACAATCAAAAAGCCCAAGACAGAATTAATCTAATCTTCACAGGTTTCTCTAAAATGCATAGATTGAACCAATAGTGAAGTGAACTCACATTTCAGTTTTCTGGCTGCACTGACCCCAGCCAGAAGGCAGAGGGCACTCAAAGATGCCTCCCAGCCCATCAGCCATTACTGAACCCAGCCAAAAGGGGATCATCCCCTATTGGCTGTCTGACACATGCCCCCAATCTCCTGCTGTCCCCCCAGCATGGTGGGGAAGGAACCCCCTTTTCCAGTGATGAGTTGAGATCTTCCCAAGTGGAGGAGTCCCACACTTCCAGGGGGTTTCCTTTGCCCTGGCCCAGGATCCCCCTGAATCCTGCTCTTCCCAACTGTGGGGGGGAGAGAGATTCCCCCTCCCTTCTACAAGGCCAGGCCACCACACATCTCTCACGTGCAGGTGAGTGGAGGGTGAAGCACCCGCCCATCCTGGGCCTGGCACCCTGAGTCGGGCATCAGCCTGTGTTGGGGGAGCCCAGTGGCTCTAGAGATTTCCCCCTCCCTGGCCCAAGTTGAAGTGGGGCAGCTACAGGGAGCCCCGTGTCGAGACTGATTCCTCTTGTGCCACTGGGCCAACTGCTGAGCCCCGCCCTGTGGCAGTCTCTGACCCACAGGTGGAGGAGGGAAGGAGCCCCCATCCTGGGGCCAAGCTGAGGTCTGCTCCCCTCCCTTGCTGGCTTGGATTGCCCCTCCCCCCCACACACACAATTTAACACTTCCTTGCTGCTTCCCTAGTACAGACAGCATGGACAGCCACAAGTAATCAGGGGGTGGGGGAAAAGCGAGTGAGGATCTGGGGTGCTGAGTAAGATAAGAGGGGCAGTTGACCCAGTCCGGGCCAGCAGGGGAGTGGAGCAGATCTTGACTTGGCACTGGGCTGGGGGCTTCTTCCCCCCTCCTCTTGCAGGTCAGAGGGTGTGGGGCTCCCCACAGCTGGTAAGACCCAGGCTTAGGGGACCCCAGGCCAAGGTGGGAGAAACCTCTTGGAGATGCAGGACTCTCCCCCCAGTTGATTGATGCCCCGTTTGGGGTGCTTGCCCTAGGACAGGCGACTCCTACCCTTCTCTCCCTCCCCACAATGTGTCAGTGACTCGTGCTGGCCCAGCCATGTAGTGGGTCTTTGTTCCCCCACCTCCTCCCCCTATCCTGTCAGTATGACAGGTATAGACAGGATGCAGGGCTGCAAAATGGAGGCTTTGCTGCCTCAGCTAGCTTGGGCACAAAGCCAGGCCTGCTCAGCTGAAGCAGACAGAATAGGCCAAGGCTAGACCACCCACCCTGCAAGGGGGTGGGGTTAGCTGGGGGCCACAAGATATCCTGGGATTCTGGGGAACTACAAGGTAACTTGTATCAGGAAGGCATCTGGGACAAGTTCAGTAGACCAGTCTAACCTAAACTGGTTCAGTTTGATACTCCATCCGTCCAAGTCTATCTTAAACCAAGTTCAACCATTTTCAAATTGGTCTATGTGGGCATTTATAGACATGCTTCAAGGGATGGGGAGGTGTGGGGGGACGGCACACTTTAATTGGTGCAGGTCTGAGACCTGAGCTAATTAAAGTGCCCAGAACATCATGTGTATCAGCTCTCCCTGCTCTGAAAAATAGCGGCGGGGACACTTTAATTAAAGGTCATCAAATGAGCTTTGGTTAAAGTGGCCCTGCCGCCATTTTTCAGCATGAGAATGCTTATACATGTGATGCTGGAGTCTGTTGGAATGGGATAATTACCATGCTCCAGCAGACTTGATTAGTCAAGTCTACTCCAACGCACTGTAATTGCGGTGCATTGGAGCAGGTTCCCTGCATGTGCATAGGAGCTCTGTGTGCTGAACTTCTGTTCTGTTACAGGTTTAGACCAGTTTCAATCATATATACCAGTTTATCTCTGTTTTCTGTCTCTGAGACTCCAGAGACCCGGGTTCTCTTCCTGGCTTAGCCATAGACTTTCAGCATAACTTGGGTAAATCCCTTGAGATCTCACTGCCTCTGTTTCCCCACCCCTTCTGGGCTCTTTAGGCTATAAGCATTCTAGGAAAAGGCCTGTCTCTTGCTATATTTATATAGTGATCTGACCTTTACTGGGGCCTCTAGATGCTACTGTAATAGAAATCATTATACATCAGGTACTACTCCATAGCCACCCTTTGTTGTGAATGACAGAACAACTTGTGCAAAGTGGGTTCTTTAAGCACAGTGAATTACTATTTTGGATTCTTCCATCAAGACTCCAACTTAAATGAAGTTCCAGGCAAATAAAAAAGTTATCCCAGCCTTTCTGTGGATATGTTAATGCCTAGCAGACTCCTCAGATGTAAAGCCTCTGAGAAGATAGTTACATATGAGCTTTTTTAACACAAATATTGATTATTAATAATCCTCATGCAAACATTTGCATTTAGGAATATTCTACAGATTTGGTTCATGCTCTCTGAAATATTTTAGTTTCCTAACAGATTTAGCTGCATAGACAAGGTGCTAAGTATTAAACTGAACAAGCTGAACTGGTAACTTCATGTACATTGTAAGTGCTCTAACATAGATCATGCACTATTAATTTTTTTAACATAAAATCATTGTACAACCTACCAGTAGCAACATCACCATTCTAGATCCATATCTGTCTAGTATTTGTATCTGCTAATGTATTCTTGAGTTTAATGTTTGACTTGTTCTTCACTGACTCTTTAAGAATGCATCCACTCTTCTTATTTCTTATATCTTCTTTGAAATGCACTGCATGGACTGAATTCTTCAAGTGCTTTGTGAAGAGTTTAATGGGAATGTGCATCTCTTCAATGATGAGCTGTGCTCAGATTTACCTCATAAATACACATTTTTAAAAAATATTTTGTTGTGCCTGTACCTTTTTAATTTTTATCTTAAGTTCTTTCTCCACTTTTTAAATAAGTGCTTGTATCCCTTGAATAATCTTGTGTCATCTATCTTCTCCATATGCCTCAGAATTTTACACATCTCAGCCATGTGCTGCCTCAGGGGTTGATTCAACAAGATACTTAAGCATGTGCCTAACCTTAGGCCTGCAAATGATCGCATTTAAGACAAGGGATAATGCACATTAAGGCCACATACAGACGGTACGTTTCTACCAGAAAAATCACAGCTCTCCCTATAGAAACCATGAGTGTACAGATATATACAGTTTCTCCCAGAACAAAAAATGGTTGTTCCTGGAGAAAAATAACCCATCCCTGACCCAGTAGAGGTCATTCCTGTGAGAGTAGGGAGAAGCTGGGGGAAGAATTGCTGCTCACCTCCTCCCAGTCCTGGGAGGAAACAGGAA